TACACAGCCAAAGTTTGACCCATTCCTCTAAAACCTTCTATACTCTCCTTTTGCTGATGCAGCTGACAGATGTTGATCGGTGTTTTTTGTTTGTTTGTTTCTTGTTTTTGTTTGTTTGTTTTTTTTGGTGTTTTTTATGACGTGGGAGAGGGTGGAAAAGAGGTTAAACATTGAGGATGCTGTACATTTACCTCAAATTATGTTAAATTTGTGATATAGAAAACGCGGTTGTTCAATAAATTATGGTATGCTAAATGCTGAATAGTGAACGACGTGAACAACGAGACAGTTGAGTGTCAACCCCCCCCCCCCCAAAAAAAAAAAAACAACCCCCCCCCCAAACCCCCCCCAACAAACAAACACCAAAAACAATGACGAAGAAGACAACAACAACAACAACAACAACAACAATCACAGCAACAATAACAACAATGATAGCAAACAATAGCTACAACAGCAACACTCAGACAACCACGCGATACAAGCTGTTTGGTTAAGGGCCAGTAACCGGCCTTTTATCACGAGTTCGAAAAGTCAACTCCCCTTAAAAAGAATTTCTGTCAGTTTTTTCCCTTCACTCAGTCAGTCAACAGGGAAATGAAACCTTGATGGGATTCCCTAATCGTCACCCATTATGAATACAATAACTGACAATGCTATATAATATACAAAATATTCATAACTAAAGACATGGAAACCCTTATATAAGTATTCTGATGGAATGATATACTCTGAAAAAGCAAGACAACTAGCAAAAAAGACTTCACGTTTTCTGGCTTTCCTAAAACAGTTAACAGAAGGATCACATCTGACAGGAAAGGGTCTGGAAAAACTGATAAGACTCAACTTCCAAATAAGTATTCTTAACTGTTTCAGAACGAGACGTATTAGTCATAACATGAACACGAAACAGATATTGAGGCCGATATATTAGAGGTACGCCATGAATGGGTTAAACTGCCACAAAATCTACAAAAAAGATGCAACTGGTCTGAACTGAACCTACAAGCCTTTATGAACTCTCTTATTAATAAATGTATATGCATGGATGTAGCGAATGTTTGATTTCTCGTGTTCTTTAATCAACCCAAACCGTAAAAGCTGATGATCGTAGCGCTACTAAAAGTGTAGATCTATTCTTGACGTTTTGGTCGGAGGCTGAGACTGAAGCATGCAACAACTTGATGTAAGGCAAAATGCTATGACGCTTGGTACATACAGAAATGTCTATGTTAGTTAATGTTTACAAATTGTATACAGTACGCTTGAATAGGAAACTTAAATTTTCTTCATAGTGTATAGAATGCCGGTTCTAATCAGCTCCATGCTTGGAGACCAAGAATGTTGATGAGTGTTGCCTGAACATCAGTTACATGGGGAAAGCAAACATTGAGAAATGGAAACACACTGCTAGAGTGCATCACAGATACGCCATTGTGATAATAATGTATCATATTTTAAAAACAAATTGAGTCAAACCAGTAATGCAAGCTTAAGAATACGCAAAGAGTATTTTTCAAACACATGTAATCAACAAAATATTTTGTGTATTTCATCTCAAGATACCAAGGTACAATTATCACAACGAAATAATATAATACGTCAGTGTAAAGTTTTCTAAAGAGAATATACGACCTTCTTGAAGTCTAGTGGTTTCCAAAGCTAGAAACAGCCAGGGACAAGTTTCTAGTGGTTTCTTGTTTGTCACACTTTCACAGACGTTTTTTTTTCAGTTTAATTTTAAACTTCAGTGCTAAAGAAAAACTTCCCTTGCTTTCAGTCAAGTAATTATTGTTTTCTTTCACGAAATGCATTTTATGGCTTTAAGCATTTATTTTTTAAAACCATAAAATCAAAATCTCTGATCATGATCCTCATTGAGGCAGATCGAGTATGTGTATTAATAAGTGAATATACACACAAACACACCCTACATCCATATAAATAGAGGAAATAACGGAAACTGTCTACGACTATAGATATTTCCCAGAAACACATTGAGAGTTTAAGCAGCAAACGCTTATATAACACTGCCAAACACTAAAATCCTCATTCTCGCTGCAAAAGGGACGTTAAGTACAGCATTTGGCGTTTATTTTTAGATTATGCTTGTTCGTACTGTAGTTTTGACATTGTCTGTCTGGCTTACATAGATTTTGCAGTATTATGCAAACATTACATAAGTTAAGTAACACAACAAGAAAATGTGTCAACTCATAATTAGTCAGTGCAAGCCTTTCAGTAGCAGGATGATATGTACATAATATAAACATTGACGAGAACAGAAAATAATAGGAGCCATGAATAATATTATAGTAAGTGTGAATAACAAAATATTCATATATGTATAGATGAAGTGCATTGTGTAAAGTAGGGCATTGTGCTAACATCACAGAGTGGTTCTTAAAGCATTGGTTTATGTCATGTTTATACAGGCGAGGATCCCTATTCGTTCTTCACAGAATCGGAAACAAACACATCTAAAAAACCCCAAATCAAACAGAAAAGCAACATCCGCATACGCAAACATCGCTTCAAAATCATTGTTCATTGTTCATTGTTTCAGGAAGCAACATCCTTGCACTCCGGACATGTCCATTGATGCCCTGTTGCTCTCTCCAAAATGTCGCCGAGGGTCTTTCCACTGATTGTGCCAGTGCATAACTGGTTGAACGACGTTCTTCTGTTCTTTCCTGCAAGGATGCCAGATTTTCCGCTTCCTTTTTGTACTCCCAAAAGCATCATCCTCTCCACGGCAGTACTGGCCTCTGCCTCCCTATCTTCTTCTTCAATCAGCTGGCGAGAGAGACATTTAAGGATCTCGCCCCTATCTGGTTGAACCGTATTGTCAACTGAGGTGGCCTCACCAGCGAGTCTGTCGGCTTTTTCATTTCCCCTAACCTGCAAGACCAGGGCAGAAAATCCACGAGAGCGATCGTATAGGCGCTGCTCGCTTCAAAATCACGAACGGCTACTCATCTGTGCTACACAGTAACCATAAAAGCATCTTTTGATTTTAAAAATACCAATAGCGTTTACGGTTGCTTTTGAAATGATAATAATCTTCATTTTGCAAGATGTAGTTGTTTCCCTTTCACCTCCAGATTGCACCCTTTTCTGTAGTACAAACGAATAAGTAAAATTACATTGATCAAGGCTGAAATGTTGACCATCTTTCAATCATTGTTTTGTCTTTTCATTTCTAAATCTAGCAGGTCAATTGATCTTCGTCTTAGAGAATTTCTGTTAAGTTTTTGTAAGGTTCAGCCATCAACAGTGCAAGGCAGGACATCGGAGTCTTGGGGTAGTAGCTTTCGACACAAAACCAGCCCTGACGTAAACGAAACTTCTGCTTTACTGAGTAAACCTTGCCTTCAAGAACATAGACATCAACATGTTCTGACATACAAAGCATAATAATGATGATAATAATTATTATAATGAATATGGATCATCATCATCCTCATCCTCATCCTCATCCTCATCAGCATCCTCATCCTCATCCTCATCATCATCATCATCATCATCATCATCATCATTGTCATGGTAATAACAATGTAAAAAGACGTGGAATGGACCAGCATTCACAAAGTAAACAAAAGAAAAATATATTATATTATCACTCACACAGCCTTTCTACAATGGTTACTGTTGGTATTCAGACTTTCTCCTTCAGTCACTTGTGAAAAATATGTCTATTTGCTGTGATCATTTACATTTTAGGTTCATGACACCGCTTCACGAATAAACGAATATTACATGCTGCATTCTGACAAAAACGAGAAGAAATTTTTTAAAAATATCTTAAGACACGCATGCATCACACAGTCAGTTTACTGAAGTAATGGGAAGCTATAGATAATCTATTTCTGAATTTATTCATCACACTATCAGTTTAAAACTTAAATGAAATAGTCATCTAATATGGATAATAATAACATTCTGTCCTTAATGAACCCCCCACCCCCTTATACCTACACAATCCCCCCTCCTTTTCCACACACACACACACACACACACACACACACACACACACACACACACACACACACACACACACACACACACACACACACACACACACACACACATACACACGAGTGCGCACCATAAAGTTACATAAAACGCAAAATCTTCCTTCAAGCAGACTTCCATGGAATGTTCTCCAGTTAATCATCAAAACAATCAGACCTTATAGTGAGCGTATCACTGCCTGATATCAGGTGTTTGATATGAAAAACGTGACTTTGATGCACTCATAGATTTATCATTGAAAATGGGCCGTGAAAGGAGGGGGGGGGGGTACAATTAATAATGTTACACTCGTAATGATAATTATTATGTAGCGAATATTGCAGGAGCGTTTCCTTGACTTTCACGATGGTAAACGTAGTCTCCATGCAGTAGAGGAGAAGGGAATTTAAAAGTAGAGTAAACCTTCCGGAAATTGTGTTCCAGAAATTGTGTTCCAGAAATTGTGAAAGCCATCGATTTCCTCATTGGGAAATTTGTTCTGACTTATCGTATGGATAATGTTATTTTTGGAGTGTTATCTAAGGTCCACGGGGTTGGTATGCCAGACTTCTGCTATTCCTGACTTTATCGATAAGGAACATTGCAATAGTGTCTCTGCAACAGTTGTCTTACGGTACCAGCCCGCTTAAGACCATGTCCTTTGTCGAAAACGTAAGTACGTAACGATCAGCAATTGTAAGATGAGGTAAGACAGGAGCACAAGCAATAGCTGGCACATGAGATTCTTTCTCCATGACACAGTGAAGGTTTCTCTTTAGAGAAGTCGCCAGTAGAAAACCACTAATTGATATTCATCTTATCGTGGCCTCGCAAACCACCACAAAACATCACAGGAAGAACTGGCATGTGCGTGGTATCCATCTTATTTAACTCTAATCGGCTGCTGCGTTAGTATGTTAAATACCTCAGGTTCTTCAACTTTGACCCTGGGAATTATACATTTTGTTCGTTCGGATGTTGGACAGATCATCATGGCCAGATTTCTTTCATAGAGTGGAAAACTCAACAGTTGAATTAAGTCATGAAAAATCAAGCCTATTTGATTTCTAGATCACAGTCTGGTACACTAATTGATTAACATGGTGGCCAACAGAAAATCTGAAGGCAACTACGAGTCACATGACACGGCAGCGTGACGTCTTGTCTTTGCTCGCGGAATTCGTTTGGCGCTGATGGACTTTCCAGGTTCAAAGCTAATGAAGCTGAGCATAGATCTAGATCTATTTGAAAAAGCGTACACTGGCCTGGTCCGTGCCATTTCCCGACCTGATCAGATTCGATCTGATCATGCACATTGGGTCCATTTGACTAATCGGCATCTGTACTTAGAGATTGGTGAAGGTGTCATTTCCTTAGTTTCCATATAAAACACGAATAGGAATCACTGTGACGGTTTATTCAAAGCAGTTTCCCACGGAACTGCTAGACACTTGACACAGTATGTAAACTTGGCATATCTCCCCATAGAAGCAGCCTTAGGGCACGAGGCCGTGGTTAGCGTGGAACAACTCTTCTTGCACTCTCCTGACAGCGCTGCCCGACACCTTGCCCGGCATGTGGCGCGTGAACAGCTCGGCTAGCCCTGGGACGTCCTCTCTGTCAAGGCCGTGAGCGAATCTGTGGGGAGGAAAGAACGTTGTTAAAAAGATTGTGGATGCTGTTACACGTCTTTTTTATAAAAACAATATAGGCGTTAAACGCCTGCATTGACATAGTTTAAATCACACACAAGGCGAGTTTCAACCCTACCTGTCCGCATCAACTTAGGCTGAGAGGGATGTAACAGCGTCTCAGCAGAAACACTGACAGTTACATTCGATAAAATTCTCCGCACACGAGAATCAAACTCAGGTCTTCTACTTGCGACGGCGAAGCGCTTAACTTCTACACCACAGATGGGGTTGTTCACACAAGAAAAGCTTTAGGTGTGAGACGTGTATAGATCTAGCCTATAAGCTTACAATGTATGGGGTTTTTGTTATTTGTACATTGTATAATGTTATGGCGTTAGTAACTAAGTGGTAGTTGATGTTTAAACTTTTATTGTAATTCATATGGATATAAAGGATAGCACAGTGGCTCGATAAAGATTATCTATATAGAGGCGAGATAGAGCAAAGTATATTAATATACGATATGCAGAATTATCTTAGTTTTTAGTATGGTCATGATCATATAAGTGCCGAAGGTTAAAGGTGTTACAAGAGAGTAACAAACACAAAAAAACAAGGGGGAGAGATAAGGACGATAGGTGTTTGACAGGAAAGAAGGAGCAAACCACATCAGAGTACCCACGCAGAAACATCTGATAATTTGTTTTTTAAAAATTAAGTAGGACAGCCAACACTCGCCATTAATTAAGAGTAAAGGAGTGTGGATGGTGTCAATTCTATTGCCACAGTGGTGGTAGTTATTGTAATGATGGAGGTTTTGAGTGTAATCAAAATCAAATGGAAAGAACAGAATAACGACTGGGAGAAGGGATTACCTTCAAGACAGGGCAGGTGGGGAGAAGAGCAAAAAGCAAAGGTATAGTGCGAAGAAAGATATTGTTTTAGTAATAACACTTCGCTTTAGATATCACATGGTCTATCGGCAAACTTTCCAAAAAACATAACAGGGCCAATTTTTATAAAATCAACCTCTCATCCTAAAAAAATACCCCAAAACAATCACCCCCCCCCAAATAAAAAAATAAGTAAAAACAGCAACCCCCCCCCCCCCAAACAAAATCACCTCTCCTTTGCGCATCCAAAAAGGCAAACAAAAAAACAAACAAACAAACAAAAGAAACAAGCAAACCAGAACCCACCTCCCCCAACAACAACAACAACAACAACAAAAACAAAAACAACAACAACAACACTAACAACAACAACAAAAACAAAAACAACAACAACAACAACAACAAAAACAAAAACAACAACAACAACAACAACAACAACAACAACAACAACAACAGCAACAACAACAGCAGCAACAACAACAACAAAACCTCCAAACAAACATAAATACATGAAATTCAACAATTGTAATTTGCGAGCCACCAAATTAGCAACTATAGAGAGCTCATCGAAATACCATACCGTATTAATCAACTCCCAGATAATAACTTTTCATACATTTTAAGAAAAAAACTAATTCTCCTCGTCTCATTACAACCTGTGTTTATTGTGTTAAAACACTTTTCTTTTCTTCCAATTGTCGCTATAGAGACGCGTCGAGCTTGCCTCAATGAGATCACAACAGTGTGAGCTAATATTTCCCCGGGCATCCATAAATTGACCCTTTCTGAGACCCTGGAGAGAATATGTTTGCTTTTCCCCAGAGGAGCTGCTTAGCTCAATGCAGAGATGGAAAACAATTAAGAAAAGCAAACGCTGCGATGGTTAAGAAAACGAGAGACAAATTTGATATACAAATTGATTAATCGGTTTGTTGGAAGATCTAAGGCGTTGATCAAACAAGCAGCAAACTCATTCAATTTTTACACCTTCTCGGGTAATGTCATGACATCTAAAGACGTTGTAAAAGGACACATAAATAACTAGATTCATGTCTGAGAAATAGAGGGAGATGTTATTTCTATACAAATCGTTTCAAACATGCACGTACCTGCATGCGTTCCCACTCAAGCGCTTGAGCGGGTATATTTTACACACGTATACACAAATATTAACCCCCCCCCCCCCACATACGATCAATTGTTTTCCGAGTACCAGAATTGAAACAGACATCTGCGATCCAGTTTTACCACTCGTTTCTCTGCTTGTACTCTCTTTAAAGACCTATTAGTGGGTGGTGGGCGAGTGCTATGGTGTTGTTAGCTCCTCTTTCCTATCAAATATTTTTCGTTCTTGTCTCTCCTCCTTCTATTTGTGTTTATTACTCTCTTGTAACAAAAGGTCAAGTGGTTCGGACACCTCACGCGGATGCCCTCAAACCATCCAGCTCTGAGAGCATACAACATTAAATATTCTGGATGGAGAGCCAGAGGAAGACCAAGGCGACGATGGAGTGAATCTGTGGCAGACACCCTTAAAGATCATGGGATGTCCCTCCTACAGGCCACACGACTTGCTGCAGACAGACACCTGTGTCTCCCCGCGACACCCCCAGGGTACAAGCGGAAGAAAAAAGTAAAAGTAAAAGTAAAGTACTCTCTTGTAACACCTCAAATCTTCGGCACTGAAAAGACCTATTTGTGTTGCAAGGTCCGAGAAACGCTTACTAAAGCACAAAAGATCTATTATTGTCCCGCTCTTTTGTCGTCACCTATATTATGTCATAGTTCTCTAAGCAACTTATTCCTGGTCTACCTTTAAGCTCAAATTCAATCACATAGACAAAGTAGACACAATTAAAGACAATTGCCGTAATATTTGGCACCTGTGGTGGCCAATGGAGCAAAAGGCACAATATGCCTACCCGCGGGTAGACACACTGGTGCCAAAATACCCACAGATACACAAACATAAAATATACTGTTAGACATATAGCCATTCATGTATTCATAGATTGGCACATCAACGCATGAAATGTGAGTTACGTCCTAGGAAAACAGCACAGGAACTGAATTATTCATAAGTATTCATCGTTCTTTTCCTTCACCCCCCCCCCCAATCGAAAAAAATGGCCTATATTAAACAGATATTGATGCTTCAAGAGTAAATGAAGGCTCCTAAAATCGTGAAAGAAAAGTTACTCTCCTCTAACACTGTTCCTTTCTTATTTCGATGGTCTGCTGTAATCAGCGTAAACCATTTTTGAATCATTACTCAAGAACAAACAAAGAATGGCTCTTCTCTCTCCGTTACTCAATCCCATCAAAATGACGCCATCTGATTTGCATAACGTTGGACACGTGACGTGTGAGCTATAGTCAAACAAAGTTAAGACGAAGTTAGTTTTGTGGTAGATTGTGCATTGTTGCTTTTAATAATTACGTTTCACTTTCTGCAAAAAGGCCCGAAATTCTTCTTACAAAGAAATGACACAAGAAGACCGACAAACATGATGCTCGTGTTCTGTGCATTATTGTAAAGCGCACTGAGTACGTCAGTGCGGTCTTACGGGTAATGTGTTATATAGTTGAACATAATAATAACAATAATAATAATAATAATAATAATAATAATAATAATAATAATAATAATAATAATAATAGTAATAACAACAATAATAACAATAATAATAAGTATTATTTATTTATTTATTTATTTTTTACCCTCCCCATTTCTAAAAACTGACGCTTTTGTTTTTAGTAGAAACAACAACAGCAAAAAGTGTGCTTTTGTTTTTAGTAGAAACAACAACAGCAAAAAGTGTGCAGCATTTTGGACTTTAAAATTAAGTGTTATTATAAGTGTAAACTTACATATATATATATATATATATATATATATATATATATATATATATATATATATATATATGTATTTTGTAGTATCATGTGTCTTCATTTTCATAAAGTTTATCAGTAAATTACACGTCTAAATGTAACAATAGCTCTGACCGGAAATTGTAACATCATCTGGTTAGTAGTTAATTGTTCCCTCCTCTGCTATGTCTACTCACGAGGAGGACACCCGCTTTCCCGCTTCCTAGTGGAGTCGTCTTTACAGTGTCACCGAAAGTTCCGAAAGTTTGCACAAAGTCTCATACTATGGTGGTGACATTGTTACTGTAAGTGTTAGCCCCTAAACTACTGGGCCAAGATGAGTAGGCAAAGGCGATTAGATTTAGATAGAGATACACATTTTTTCTGGTTTGGGGGTTGTAATTTTGTGTTTGCGTCTGTATTTTCAATCTCTCCTTAATATTTGTGTACCTAAGTTGATTTGAGATGAACATGCCCCGTTTAGCATACTTTTATCTCTTTGATGTAAGGGATTTTTTTTCCATAATTATTGTTTTTAACCGGATCGTTTATCCAGAGGGATGTGTACCATGACTTGTGGGTTGGCCTGCAAGAAGATTCACTGTCCGGGGCGAGTGAGGTCATCACAATACGAAGAAACCACTTTTCCCACGGAAAGTCCAACTATATTTCCTGCTATTATTGTTGTTGTTGTTGTTGTTGTTGTTGTTGTTGTTGTTGTTGTTGTTGTTCTTCTTCTTCTTCTTCTTCTTCTTCTTCTTCTTCTTCTTCTTCTTCTTCTTCTTCTTCTTCTTCTTCTTTTTCTTCTTCTTTTTCTTTTTCTTCTTCTTCTTCTTCTTCTTCTTCTTCTTCTTCTTCTTCTTCTTCTTCTTCTTCTTCTTCTTCTTCTTCTTCTTCTTCTTCTTCTTCTTCTTCTTCTTCTTCTTCTTCTTCTTCTTCTTCTTATTATTATTATTATTATTATTATTATTATAGTCATCGTCAATAATATTGTTGAAAAGCGCAATTGTTCACTTCCTTTTTTGAAAATGCGCTATACAAATTTATGAAATTGATCACTATTACAATTCTAATACTTACACTCTTCTTCTTCTTCTTCTTCTTCTTCTTCTTCTTCTTCTTCTTCTTCTTCTTCTTCTTCTTCTTCTTCTTCTTCTTCTTCTTCTTCTTCTTCTTCTTCTTCTTCTTCTTCTTCTCTTCTTTTTCTTCTATAATAACACAATAAAATAATAATAATAATAATAATAATAATAATAATAATAATAATAAATACTACTACTACAATCATTATTATTATTATTATTATTATTATTATTATTATTATTATTATTATTATTATTATTATTATTATTATTTTAAAATTTAAAAACAATTATTATTATCATTATTATCATTATTATCATTATATTATTATCAACTGTCAGACCTGGAAATGCATTCCTCGGTAAACTGGCAAAGACACAGTAGCCGTGACACATGTCTTTGCTGTGGCGGGTGGGGCAACACTTGACGCACCAGTTTGACCAGGTAGGGGGCGCTCATCATCACTGTCAGGCGCTCAGAAATGGACATCTGAGAAATAAACGAAAAGAAAGACCAATAACAAGAATTAACTCTTTGCACACGCGCATTCAGGTCATTCGACAACGCTTGGAGACGAGCTGTTTTGAACAGTAACTTCATTTTTTATTCATGCAGATTCTTTTTTCTTTCTGTTTTAAAAAATCTGAAACTTCATCTGAAACCTCGCAACAGCATAAGGTCATATGAGCGCCTGAAGATTAGAGGTGTTACAAGAGAGTAACAAACATAAAAAAAGAAGAAGGGGAGATAAGGACGATAGATGTTTGATAGAAAAGAAAGAAGAAGCAAACCACACTAGAGCATCCGCCAACCACCCACAATATCAAGAATTAACTCTTTGCACACGCGCATTCAGGTCATTCGACAACGCTTGGAGAAGAGCTGTTTTGAAGAGTAGCTTCTTTATTCCTGCAGATTTTTCTCTTTCTCTTTTCTTTCTCTGAAATTTTAAAAAGGGGCAAGCAATGACATGTAAACTATGAAATGATACGCAAATTTGTGTTTCTGATATGTTTGGGATGGTTCGAAAAGTGTCGTAAGATTGCCTTTGGTCTGCTGTTGCTGTTGATCGGAGATATATGTGTCCGCTGTGTCGTTTAAGAGTTACTTTCTCCCCATGTCATTGCTCGGTAAACTAAGATAGTTCAATGTCATTATAGCAAAGTGCGGTCAACAATTCGTGGCGTAACGTTAAATCCTATACTATCCAACATAGATTCTCCAGCTTTTGCACAATGACTTGTATTAATTTGTCTTGATGTATTTGGAAAATTGTGTAATGCATAAAAGACCTGGGCGAAATATTTTTGTAAACACCTGTTAGCTGCATTCTAGAAAATTCCTTACTAAATACTAATTAAAAATCCAAGTGGGTGGTTTCTACAGACTTTAAAGGTGTACAGTTGGGGCAATGTAACGCTTTTAAAAGCAAGTCCGTAATTGTTTTTCTAATTCCGACATTGTACTTGCATGTTTTGAAAGCCTTTAGTGCAAAATTGTGTTCACTACAAAATTGATTTTCTGTAATAAGTTTTGCCACTAAAATGTGTCATTGGTGAGCTGTGACGTAGGCCATATGCGTATGAAAAATATGGGTGAGAAGCGGGAAGTGCTTTGAACAATCTTATTTTCCGCGTGACGGAGATTTATAGTGTTTTATATAAATTCATGAAAAAAAATCTAGCCTCAATTGTTGTGGAAAATGTGATTAAGTTAAGACAAATTGATGCAAACTGCTGTGAAAAATATGGGCGACATATTCACACGTTAAAGAAATATTTGAGGATAAGTTGTGCCATGAATTTTTGCCACACTATTATAGTATAATGGCCACAGACAGAATTTGGTGCATTATGGAGGTGTACGTCATATGGGACGTTGAACCCATACACTTACTTTACTTACAAGAGAGCAAAAGGAAATTATACACAGGCATACTTCAATAAGCAAAGTTTCTTACACAGCGTTCATTGTTAGTGTGGCATGTCCTTCCTTATCAAAAATATTGCAAGAGAGAGATAGATAGATAGATAGATAGATAGATAGATAGATAGATAGATAGATAGATAGA